CACTTAATCGTCTGTCCTCCTTTTGTATTCTCGACCTCAATGAATTATTAACAAAACTTCCTACAATCTTTTGCTTTTAACTCTTATTATAACAAAAACTAAACAATAATAAAACATTCACTCACAAAAACTAAATTAATCAATAATATCTAAATTAGACAGTTTTTTATATCATTACGTTCAATTTACAGAGAGCTTCAAATCTGGACTACATTTAGATAATGAGTTCTACCCGCATCATTCAGTGACAACACTGATCATGCCTAAAATTCAGAGCTGTGCTAGAACATCACAGTCTAAACTTGGTTGAAGAAGGACATCAAATGTTACCTGATAAATTCGTAGTTTAGTATGAACTTTCGATTACGCAAACAGCCTAACCAGCCATCTTTTAAAGTTAAATGCACTGAGTTTTGAATCTCATCTGTCATAAGTCTTTCTAGTTATCCAATTTTTCAAATTCTAATGTTTTTCCTATACATCAGATATTCAAAACTTTCTTCTGACGTTTCTGAGATTTTTAACAATTTCTACAACAAGAATTAACTTATGTTATTTTTAAGCGCAGTTCACATATGCTTTGATGGAGATTCTCTTGTTTATTGAGTAAAGTGGTTTTACATTATTTTCTTTTGAAATCTAGTATTGTCTCAGGCATGAGGTTGTAAAATTTAAAAATATACATTTTATAGACTCTACAAATCTTCATCTAATCTATTTAGTTGGGTGGAAGTTCATATATAAGTTTAAACGTGGCTCAGGTTTTGCTTGGCTTTCTTGCTGTAATGTGTAAATCAAGTTATATACATAAACACACATTCGCCTACACTTGTTATTTTCCAGTTTTATGAGTATATTAGACCGAGTATCGTACAGACACCTATTTGGGGTGTTACCATACTTATTATCTACCATTGATAGTGAGTGACAGTTAAGATATAGAAGAAAGTAGGTCAGAAAAGATTCGCAAGCTAAGCTCTCTTATACACTTCATGTGAGTTGATTTGCATTTTACGAACTAGAAGGCATTTTGTAGCCGGTATATTTCATACACTATACTTGACGTAGTTCCGCATAAATCCCATTCTCCATTGTGTATCTTCTAGATGTTTTACAGGGACCACAAGAGCTATTTATAAATTTTCATCTTGTGTTTGTTATGTGCTTCATTGCACAACGATGTTATTATAGAACACACAAACATAGATATAAACAACATATCTGTGTGTGTGTGTTTTTAAATCAAACTTCGTAGCTATTAATTGTGTTCTACCTCTGGTATAATAATAGGTTCGTAAGATATCTAGATGTTTGTGTAACAAAACTATTCACTCTCAAACGATATACATTTTCCAAACGGAATCTTCGGTGTGCAAAATGAGATCAATTTGCCTTAATTAATCGTTTCCCTTGGGATTAGACTTTATAGACTCAACCTCACTAAAAGAAATGTTTCATTATCTCAAACTTAGTTTACAGAAGGAAACCATCACTGAATGAAACCAAACCAATTTTTCGAATGGTTTGACAGCATTTTCAATCTACGAAGAATTATTAGCAAATGGTGCGATAGAAAAAGCGTAATAATAAACAACAAACAGAACAATTAATATTAATAAACAAGTACAGTAGTTGTACATATTGTACTAGTTAGTAATTATTATTTATCTTCTTTTTAGGCTACTACAACTGAATCCCCTCATTTAGCAAATCTTAAGAATTGAAACACGTCATTTGTTACATATTAAGAATTGAAACACATCATTTGGCAGATATTAACAATTGAAACACATTATTTGTTAGATATTAACAATTGAAACACATCATTTGTTACATATTAAGAATTGAAACACATCATTTGGCAGATATTAACTATTTAATTTCACCACCAGATAAAACAAACAAGTGAATCCCATAATTTATCAAATACAAGCAATTGAGAGCCATCTCAGCAGAAACAAATATTTATTTTTCAAAAATTGATATAACAATAAAGATAGAATAGAAAATAGAACAATAAATAACTATTTAACTGAAGCTAACGTTTGTACTTACAGGTGTTTGCCAGAGACAATATTTTCGGGTGAAACCACGCGCCAGTGAAGTCATTCAAGGACAAACTATTGATTTGCAATGTCAAATAGCAAATCTAGCTGGAGCTGTACAATGGAGCAAAGACGGTTTCGTTCTGGGTAAGATTAAGCTCATGAACCAAAGAAGTTATGTATCTTAATTATGTATATGTGTTTGTGTGTGTGTGTGTGTGTGTTTGTCTTATAGTAAAGCGTCTTCACTTATCTGATTTTGTAAACTGATTCCTATTTATGTTGTATTATATATTACTTACATATAACGTTTCTTCAAAATGTAACATTGTTAGTTTATTAGTAACTAGCTGGAGTACCCGTCCCCTGGACGGCAGTTATGTACATTCGTAATGAAAGGTTATATTGGGACATGAAAAGTTGCTTCCCTTATATGTAATTGTAAAAACTGCAAAACACAAAATGTAAAACCGCAACTTTGCATGTATATTCCCATGGATCCAACAAACCTTCATGTCAAATGTGGTGAATGTCCATCCACAGGGGGTGAGGTAATGGTAAAAAGCGTAAACACGTTCATAAAAACGCAAAATGCAAAACTGAAAATTTGTATGTATCTCCCCATAGATTCAATGAACCTCCATACCAAAGTAGTAACATGGACAAACAACAGACAGTACTATTATATTTATATAAATGTAGTACATATTATATACCAACATGAGAAGCTATTTCAGGCTATCTGTGAGTCCGTTTGGCTTCTTAACTTGTTACCATACGCACAGATTTCAATTGGACAATCTTTCAAGATCCGTCAAATGACATCATTAATTGTCTTGAAAATTACTAAAATGAAACCTGTGTTTATATATTGAACAATATGCTTCGATTTCTACTTGTCAGTGTAACGTTTTGATATACTTTGAGCTAAAAAAGTTAAAAGTTTTATGGACAAGTGAGTTAATTTAATTAAGATAATTAAAAACTTCTATCTGCCAGTGTCTTATTTTTGTTTTTTTATTCAAAGCAGTTCCGTGTTTTCTATGCAAGTTATAAAGAAAACTGGTTACCCCATTTATTTTCCTTCTGCATCGAACGAAACGAAAGGTTTATCAGTATTCTCATAATATAACTAATACTTTTTTACGTATTCTGCGTTTCTTTCACGAGTACCTATTATATTTTTTAGACTGCAATATTAAACTGAGCTCATTCAGAATTCAACAAATGTAAAAACAAGATTGGCAAATCCACCAGCGTTTAAAACTCAACGTCTGACGAAACGAATTCAAGCAAAATAGTAATGATGGAACACTGGAAAACAAATTTTAAAGAACGTGCAATAGAGAAGTCTTAATACGCCCATAGATAGATAGACAGTCTACGTTTATTTATTTGTCTCTTCTTTGTGTACAACGTAACTTGCTGCAAGCTTAGATTTTTGAAATTATATGTTTTCCCTAAAAGAACTTCTGTGCTATATAATGCAATCACAATATTTCAAAACTACTTTTCAATATCTTAGGTTATTATATATTTACCTCCCAATGGATTGTCCGTTTAATAAGTGTTTTACATGTTTTAGCAATTTTTTTTTCTTTTTCAAACGACTAATGCAAAGGTTATAGAGGAATCATGATGACCAAAACTTAAGTACAATTTATAAGTGATGTAATCTTACACCATAGCTTATGATGAGTTTAAATATTTAGTATGATACGGTAAGCTTTAATTTTACTGAAGTAATAAAGCATCAAACTTTCGTTCAATATCACCGACTTTATTAATTTTTACTAGCTTATAGCTTCAAACTTTAGGCCTAATCGCATACATAATACTGAATTATTTTCAAACACTAGGCTATTTTTAGTAGCTGTTGTAAAATAATTGTTTAGAACACCGTTTCAATTAACCCCCGCCTCTCCCGTCCTCTGCATTTCTTGACAGTAACAGTAAGAAAGAATATTATCCAAAAACTTGTAAAGTACCCGTTAAGATCGAAACGTCTACATACGCAAGGATTCATCTCTTGATACGAAGAGCAAAAGGACGTCAATTCTAGCAAATTATTCATACTTACACTGTTACCAACTACAGCCCAATAACTGTTTTTCTAGGTATTTACTTTGTTTATATCTACATAAGTATAATAGTACTGTCAGTTGTATGTCCATGTAACTACTTCGCAGGGTGTGGATGGATCTTCACCAAAAATTGTATGGAGGTTCATTGAGTCCATGGGGATATACATACAAATTTTCAGTTTTGCATTTTACGTTTTTTACCACTACTTCGCTCCCTGTTGATGGCATAAAGGTTTGTTGGGTCTATGCGGAGATACATGGAAATTTGCACATTTTGTGTTTTGCGGTCTTTATGGGCATGTTTGCGTTTTTTTTTTACAATTACATATAAGGAAAGAAACTTTTCATGTCCTGAGATAACCTTTCATTAATCACGAATTCACATAACTTCCGTCCAGAGAATATAACATCTCAGATCTCACATATCATTGGCACCTATATAAACAAAGGAGTTCCATTATGCATCAGTATCAAAGCCGATTTGACTTCTGACTATAATTTTTAAATTCAGGGTAATTAAGTGTAACTAAAAATTATTTTCACTTACTACATCCAGGTGGAGTAGGCGAAAACATGTATATACAAATGACATTCAGAAAGAAAAAAAAACTCAAGTGAAAGAGCTTTTATTTGTGTTATGTATGAATAAATAACAGTAATTTTTCAGACGAAAGGCAGAAGACCTTCGAAACGTCGTCCTCTATACATATGTTTCTATATGAGGTATTTGCCGTCCGTTTAATTAAATTTTTTGTTTGTTTGTTTTGAATTTCGCGCAAAGCTACACGGGGGCTATCTGCGCTAGCCGTCCCTAATTTAGCAGTGCAAGACTAGAAGGAAGGCAGCTAGTCATCACCACCCACCGCAAACCCTTGGACTACTCTTTTACCAAAGAATAGTTGGAGTGGCCGTCACATAATAACGCACCCACGGCTGAAAGGGCGATCATATTTTGTTGGACGGGGATTCGAACCCGCAGATTGTTAGTCGAGCGCCCTAACCACCAGGCCATGCCGGGCCAATTATTTTTTTTCAGATGGACTTGTCGTTATTTTGGGCAAGGACAATCCGTCCTTAATGAAGAGAGATTCATTTGTCGAAAGCTTTAGGATTTTATCTGTTTCTTTTTTTTTCAGTTTTAAGCGATTTAATAACTTTTTTATCTTACCTTTCAATAGTATTTCTTAAGCTATGTAATTATTTGAATTAACGTATTTTCTTCTCATAAGGTTATTCCTAGACATGCAAGTTTCTATCACACAGCACCCGATAACTCAGATTTTACAATAATTAGAACATGCTTTCAGATTGTGTTCTATGGGGGTATGCATCAAAGGCAGCGAGATGTCATTTATGTTTTTGAATTTAACCTTAATGGCGTGGCTACTTACTTTATACTCCAAAAGCAGATCTTAACTTCCTTAAGAGTAAAAAGTGTCTTGTTTTTCTGCGCTTTCTAAATAATAATTGGATGATGTTACTGAAGTAACTGAACTTGGCGCTTTCCATTCAGTAAAAGTAAATTAGGAACAGGAAATACTGAGCTATTCACTGCTTCTCGAAAAAATTGCCACTGGTCAACTATTCTCCAAATTTCATTAGATGTCTAATCATATGCTATTTTTCAGATGATGCTTTTGAATGGTTCATTTCTTGGGGTTGAAATAATCTCAGAGAAATAATAAAACTTTAATAAGTCTGTAATTATCGATTACGAACGCCGGTACTTCTACAAGCATAATACGAATAGTAAAATACGAAACAAAATAAAGTAAAACAATGTGCAATGTGACTAGTCCGGTTTTTTTTAATCGCCAGAAATACACGTACAGTTAGGCGAGGTTTAACGAGTAGAGTACATTTCTAATACATAATCACATATGGATTAGATTGAAAATGTTTTTGGTCGTTAAACAATACAGATTGCGATATCTTTGTGACACGATACCATCGTGGTAGAACCGTCTGTTAACATGAAATATGATATGTCGTCACACAGTAAAGGATATATGATAGGATCGTCATATAATGCGAGTAACTTTGAATAGTGCGATCAAGTTTCAGAGGTTTGTAAGGATACACTGATATATTCAACTGGCTACATTTCTTGAAATACAAAATACATCATATTACCTTCATGGCCAGATGGTTATGGCACTCGACTCGCAATCTACGGGTCGAGAGTTCGAATCTCAGTCCCACCAAACATGCTCGACCTTTCAGCCGTGGGAGTGTTATAATGTTACGGTCAATCCCACTATTCCTTGTTAAAAGAGTAACACAAAAGTTAACACAATGTTAAATTATGGACGGTTAGTGCAGATTTCGTGTAGCTTTGCGCGAAATTCAAACAAACCATATCATCTTCAAGTGAAACAATGTATAAAGCACAGGATCATATACGTAGCGTAGCTGTCTTATATTTGATATGCATATCCTATTTGGCGAGTTTTTAACAACCATACTAATTTGGTGATAAATTTCGATTTTATTTGATTTTTTCTGTGGGATAACAATTTACATTTTGGTCTACCATTCGTTAATTTGACATTAATATCTGAAAAGATGTTTTACAAACAAACAATATATATATGACACTGGCTAAATAAATAAACGTTATTCAAATCATCCTATCCTTCTCAAACGAAGTTTAAAATCTTATCACATGACATGCAAAAAACGCCAGGATTCATGTGTGTCAGTAGAATGTTGGTTATAAATTACTGAGATAACATATATATATATATATATGTTGCTACTCAGAGATTATAATTAAACAATGAATTATTATTAGGATGACACTATTTCATGAATAAAAAGGATATAACAAAGTCATTTAGCGGTTTATATCTAGCTTAGGTTTGTTTATTGAAATAGATGTGTGCCCAAACTATGTGATTCTGCTTAGTAAGTCATAGAATCTACAAAATCTAATACATGTTGCTATGGTAATTTCTCCATCATTAACAAGTATATGTACCAACGCTGAAATAATTACATGTAGTAGGATAATTGAGTTTACAAAAGCAGACACACTTAATGCATAGCGTGACATCGTACATT